CCCGAACCCTACGACTTGTCGCCCCAAAACAACCCATACGGCCCACCTGGCCCCCACCTGGCCACCACCCCCCCCCCACGACATCCCCAGGCCTCTGGGCTGTGTTCTTGGGACCCCGGACCCTACGTTTTGTCGCCCCAAAAACAACCCATACCGCCCACCTGGCCCCCACCTGGCCACCACCCCCCCACGACATCCCCATGTCTCTGGGCTGTGTTCTTGGGACCCCCGACCCTACGATTTCTCGCCCAAAAACGACCCATACCCGCCACTTGGCCCCCACCTGGCCACCACCACCCCACGACATTCTCAGTCCTCTGGGCTCTCTTTTTGAGACATCGGACCCTACGATTTGTCGCCCCAAAACAATCCATACCCCCCACCTGGCCCCCACCTGGCCACCACCCCCCCACGACATCCCCAGGCCTCTGGACTGTGTTCTTGGGACCCCCGACCTTACGATTCCTCGCCCAAAAACGACCCATACCTCCCACCTGGCCCCCACCTGGCCACCACCCCCCCACGACATCCCCCGGCCTCGGGCCTCTGTTCTTACGACCCCCGACGCTACGATTTCTCGCGCCAAAAACGACCCATACCCCCCACCTGGCACACACTAGCCCCACCCCCCCTCGACATCCCAGGGCCTCTGGGCTTCTGTTCTTGGGAACCCCGGACCCTACGATTTGTCGCCCCAAAACAACCCATACCCCCCACCTGGCCCCCACCTGGCCACCATTCCCCCACGACATCCCCAAGCCTCGTGGCTGTGTTCTGGGAACCCCCGACTTTACGATTTCTCGCCCAAAAACCCCTTCCCCCCACCTGGCGATTACCTGGCCACCACCCCCCCACGACATCCCCAGGCCTCTGGGCTCTGTTCTTGGGACCCCCAACCCTACGATTGCTCTCCCAAAAACGACCCATACCCCCCACCTGGCCCCCACCTGGCCAGCACCCCCCCACGACATCCCCAGGCCTCTGGGCTCTGTTCTTGGGACCCCGGACTTCTATAAGTCCCACTTTATTATAAAACTCTAACACCCACTACTTTTCTAACATACGATTGTCGCCCCCAAAAACCATACCCTCCACCTGGCCCACACCTGGCCACCACCCCCCCCGCGACATCCCCAGGCCTCTGGGCTCTGTTCTTGGGACCCCCAACCCTACGATTTCTCGCCCAAAAACGACCCATCCCCGCTACCTGGCCCTTACCTGGCCACCACCACCCCACGACATCCCCAGGCCTCTGGGCTCTGTTCTTGGGACCCCCGACCCTACGATTTCTCTCCCAAATCGACCCATACCCCCCACCTGGCCCCCACCTGGCCAGCACCCCCCCACGACATCCCCAGGCCTCGTGGCTCTGTTCTTGGGACCCCGGACCCTACGATTTGTCGCCCCAAAACAACCCATACCCCCCACCTGGCCCACACCTGGCCACCACCCCCCCCCGACATCCCCAGGCCTCTGGGCTGTGTTCTTGGGACCCCCGACCTTACGATTTCTCGCCCAAAAACGACCCATACCCTCCACCTGGCCCCCACCTGGCCACCACCCCCCCACGACATCCCCAGGCCTCTGGGCTCTGTTCTTGGGACCCCGACCCTACGATTTCTCGCCCAAGAACGACCCATACCTCCCACCTGGCCCCCACCTGGCCACCACCGCTCCCCACGACATCCCCAGGCCTCTGGGCTGTGTTCTTGGGACCCCCGACCCTACGATTTGACGCTCCAAAACAACCCATACCCCCCACCTGGCCCCCATTTGGCCACCTCCCCCCCACGACATCCCCAGGCCTCTGGGCTGTGTTCTTGGGGGACCCCGACCTACGATTGACCCCCCAAAAAAACAACCCATACCCCCCACCGGCCCCCACCTGGCCACACCCCCACACGACATCCAGGCCCTTTCCCATCTCCCCGGGCTGTGTTATTGGACCCCCGACCTTACGATTTCTCGTTCAAAAAACCTCCCACACCCCCACCTGGCTCCCACCTGGCCACCACCCCCCCCACGACATCCCAGGCGTGGCTCTATTCTTGGCACCCCACTTTACGATTCTTCGACCGAAAACGACCCTACCCCCACCTTGGCCCCCACCTGGCCATCACCCCCCACGACATCCCCAGGCCTCTGGTTCTTTTTTTTTTTTTTTTTATGTCCTCGGACCCCGGACCTACTATTGTCGCCCAAAAAACAACCATACCGCCCACCTGGCCCCCACCTGGCCACCACCCCCCCCCCCCCCTCCCCACGAATCCCAGGCCTCTGGGCTGTGTTCTGGGACCCCGACTTTACGATTCTCGCCAAAAACAACCATACCGCCCACTGGCCCCACTTGGCCACCCCCCCCCCCCCCCCCCCACGACATCCCCAAGCCTCTGGGCTCTGTTATTGGGACCCCCGACCCTACGATTTCTCGCCCAAAAACTACCTATACCCCCCACCTGGCCCCCACCTGGCCACCACCCCCCCACGACATCCTCAGGCCTCTGGGCTCTCTTTTTGGGAGTTCGGACCTTACGATTTGTCGCCCCAAAACAACCCATACCCCCACCTGGCCCCCACCTGGCCACCACCCCCCCACGACATCCCCAGGCCTCTGGGCTGTGTTCTTGGGATCCCCGACCTTACGATTTTCCGCCCAAAAACGATCATACCTCCCACTGGCTCCCACCTGGCCACCACCCCCACGAACCCAGGCCTCTGGGCTCTGTTCTTGGGACTCCCGACCCTACGATTTGTCGCCCAAAAACAACCCATACCCTCCACCTGGCGCCCACCTGGCCACCACCCCCCCCACGACATTCCCAGGCCTCTGGGCTCTCTTCTTGGGACCCCCGACCTTACGATTTCTCGGCCAAAAACGACCCATACCCCCCACCTGGCCTCCACCTGGCCACCACCTCCCCGCGACATCCCCAGGCCTCTGGGCTCTGTTCTTGGGACCCCCAACCCTACGATTTCTCGCCCAAAAACGACCCATCCCCGCTACCTGGCCCTTACCTGGCCACCACCCCCCCCCACATCCCCAGGCCTCTGGGCTCTGTTCTTGGGACCCCCGACCCTACGATTTCTCGCCCAAATCGACCCATACCCCCCACCTGGCCCCCACCTGGCCAGCACCCCTCCACGACATCCCCAGGCCTCTGGGCTCTGTTCTTGGGACCCCGGACCCTACGATTTGTCGGCCCAAAACCCACCCCCCCTCGGACCCCGGACCCTACGATTTGTCGCCCCAAAACAACCCATACCGCCCACCTGGCCCCCACCTGGCCACCACCACCCCCCCCCCTCACGACATCCCCATGCCTCTGGGCTGTGTTCTTGAGATCCCCGACCTTACGATTTCTCGCCCAAAAACAACCCATACCGCCCACCTGGTTCCCACCTGGCCACCACCACCCCCCCCCCCACGACATCCCCAGGCCTCTGGGCTCTGTTCTTGGGACCCCCGACCCTACGATTTCTCTCCCAAAACGACCCATACCCCCCACCTGGCTCCCACCTGGCCAGCACCCCCCCACGACATCCCCAGGCCTCTGGGCTCTGTTCTTGGGACCCCCGACCCTACGATTTCTCGCCCAAATCGACCCATACCCCCCACCTGGCCCGCACCTGGCCAGCCCCCCCCCCGACATCCCCAGGCCTCTGGGCTCTGTTCTTGGGACCCCGGACCCTACGATTTGTCGCCCCACCCCAGGCCTCTGGGTTGTGTTCTTGCGACCCCCGACCTTACGATTTCTCGCCCAAAAACAACCCATACCCCCCACCTGGCCACCACCTGGCCACCACCCCCCCACGACATCCCCAGGCCTCTGGGCTCTGTTCTTGGGACCCCCGGCCTCACGATTTCTCGGCCAAAAACGACCCATACCCCCCACCTGGCCCCCACCTGGCCACCACTCCCCCACGACATCCCGAGGCGTCTGGGCTCTGTTCTTGGGACCCCGGACCCTACGATTTGTCGCCCCAAAACAACCCATACGGCCCACCTGGCCCCCACCTGGCCACCACCCCCCCCACGACATCCCCAGGCCTCTGGGCTGTGTTCTTGGGACCCCGAACCCTACGATTTGTCGCTCCCAAAACAACCCATACCGCCCACCTGGCCACCACCGCTCCCCACGACATCCCCAGGCCTCTGGGCTGTGTTCTTGGGACCCCCGACCCTACGATTTGACGCCCCAAAACAACCCATACCCCCCACCTGGCCCCCACCTGGCCACCACCCCCCCACGACATCCCCAGGCCTCTGGGCTGTGTTCTTGGGACCCCCGACCTTACGATTTCTCGCCCAAAAACCTCCCACACCCCCCACCTGGCTCTCACCTGGCCACCACCCCCCCCACGACATCCCCAGGCCTCTGGGCTCTATTCTTGGCACCCCCGACTCGACGATTTCTCGCCCGAAAACGACCCATACCCCCCACCTGGCCCCCACCTGGCCACCACCCCCCCACGACATCCCCAGGCCTCTGGTCTCTGTTCCTCGGACCCCGGACCTACGATTTGTCGCCCCAAAACAACCCATACCGCCCACCTGGCATCCACCCGGCCACCACCCCCCCCCCCCCTCCCCACGACATCCCCAGGCCTCTGGGCTGTGTTCTTGGGACCCCCGACTTTACGATTTCTCGCCCAAAAACAACCCATACCGCCCACCTGGCCCCCACTTGGCCACCACCCCCCCCCCACGACATCCCCAAGCCTCTGGGCTCCGTTCTTGGGACCCCCGACCCTACGATTTCTCGCCCAAAAACTACTTATACCCCCCCCAAAAAAAACAAAAAAACGACATCCCCATCCTTGCCAGCATGCCTCTCCTACTCTCCCGGCAACATGCTTCACGACTGGCACGCGCGTCCATCGTCCCTCCTGTCGGCTGCGGCAACAGCTATCCAGTCTTACGCACTTTCGTCACTGACGCATGGCTCCGCTCAGCGACTTCTTTCCTTTTGCGCTCTTGGCCAGCACAGCACTCGTTACACCTTTGCTTCCCATCCGCCTTCTGCGTCGTTCGCCCGGCCAACCAGCTGCTGTATTCGTCCCTGCCGAAAGCGCCTTTGCATTCAACGCATTTCCACTTCCCGCGCCGCAGCTTCGCGTCGTCGATGCATCGCTTGCACTTGCGGTGTTGTTCTGCCCTGCCGTCCCACATCTTTTCAGAGAAACAATCTTTCTGTTGCGCCTTCTCGCACGCTACACACGTTCTCACTTCCTTCCTCCCTGCAGCGACGCACTGCTTGCACTTACGATGCAGATCTGCCACGCCGTTCCACATCCAATCAGAAAACCAATCTTGCCGGTGCGCCTTCTCGCACACCGCGCACGTTTTCATGTCCTTCTTCGGCGCAGCGACGCAGCGCTTGCACTTGCGGTGCAGATCTGCAACGCCGTTCCACATCCAATCCGAAAAACAATCTTGCCGTTGCGCCTTCTCGCACACCACGCAAGTTTTAATGTCCTTCCTCGCCGCCTGATCCCGCTCTGCTGCTGCAGCGTTTACGCATTCCCTACATTGCATCGACGCTTTCGGCGCGTTCTTCAGCATGTACTCTGAAAACTCGGTTCTCCTTTTGGGGATTCCGCAGTTGGAACACACGCGCTCTTTTGCCTCTTCGGCACGGGCCTTCTCCTCCTCTCTCTGCAACCTCTTACAAGCCTTGCAAGTGGGTTCCTCGCTGATGATAGTTTCCGCTTTGGCAAATTGATCTAGTAACTTCTCCTGGCCGCAGCGCGAACACTTCAGGTGCGTTTTCGCGTCTTCGCAGTCCCGGCACATTCCCCCTTTGCATCGGGCGTTCCCTGCCTTGTCCCACTGCAAACCCACGAACGCCTCCTCGTACTTCCGGCCCTCGCATACATAACACTTTCGCCTCTCAGGACAGTCCACGCAACGCCGTGACGTGAGTCTCGAGCTGTGGTGCTGGGATGCATGGAACGCATCCTGGCCCTTCCACAGAAAGCATTCCGTGCACTGCCACGGCGTGCCACTGCTCTTCTTGCCTTCCAAGCACACCTGGCACACGCGGCGACCGTCGTCCCGGCTCCACTGCCCGACCGCGTACTGGTTCTTGTACTTCACCGACGAGCACAGTGCGCACATCCCTGCAGGCATGAACTCCTTCTCGATTGCATCCCAGTCCATCGGGTCTCCCCGCAACACCTGTAACAGTAATCCGGGGCCCTTCCGCTCCTTCTGAGTGTACGGCGCGCGGTCGAAAGGCCGAAATATCAACATGTCTTCGCGGCGACGCACGCGCGTCAGAGCCACATAACTCGACAACGGCGACGTGCCCCCGCCAATCCTGAGGTCCACGATGACACCCTGCTTAAAAGTCTGGCCCTGTGCTGAATGGGCGGTGACTCCAAACGCTGGGGCCAAGGGGAATTGCCGCCGCTTCACTTTCAGACGCGGGTACGGCCTGCCCTTGTCGACGAACCAATCTTTTTTCTGCGGAGTCACTGGGTACAGGCCCGGCGTCTTCAGCCCCTGGATCGTCCACTTGCACGGAATCACGTTCCCTGCGTCATCGCGACCCTCATCGAAGAGGACAAATATCACTTTCGGCGTCTTCTGCAATATGGTCTCCCCCCCCCGGGAGACGCGACCCGCTCCTTCGTCGCCATCACACACCCATGAGTGCACGGTCCCCACGCGTCCGCGGAGTAGGTACTTGTCCTCGCTGCGGTCGATATGATCTGTGAGGGCCACAGGCATTCCCTCCGCGATTGGCAAAAAACCATACAGGTCCCCGCTCTCCTTGTCGTGGCGCTGCAGCCAGGCCATTTTTTGATGTGGCAGATCTGGCCGCTCTCGCAGCGCATCTGGTGTCGGAGTGTCGCGCGCAGGCACGTACACCAGAGGTTTCTCGTGCAGTCGGGCGTATTGCGACGCTCGGAGTTTGTTCACCTCATACTTCACGTCGTTATTCGGGAACACCCCGGGGGCGCACCGGAACTTCGCCGTGTGCATGCGCGCGTCATCTGGACCGTCGATGACGAGACGGCGCCGTTCGCGCTCATGCTTGCACACCGCACATTCCTGTCTGCGTATTTCCTTCGGGGACATCGCGCGCTGACGGCGTGCTCCGACAGTTTCCTTCTCTGAGACCCCTGCGGCGTCGCACAAGGCCCTACATCTCGCGTTCCTACATCCAACCACACCATGGAGCCAACTCCCCGGGACTCCAGTATCACGCCCGTGCAAAAATGAATGCGCGTCTTCCGTGAGGTCTCCTCTGCGGAACTCCTCTTGCACGGATTTCAGCCAGGCATCGTCGCAGCGCTCGCACTCCACTAGCTCCGTTACCCCCTGCACGCCCTCGTTACCTCCCCCCCACAGGAGAGCCTGCCCGTGTAGCACTGGCGGGAGCGAGGTATACTTCCGTGCCGCCGCGACGCGCTCTGCTGGCACGTCTGCAAGGAACCCTCCGTCCGGAGGGGCCAGCTGCCAAAAATCTCCGCTCAGAACGACGTTCAAACCGCCGAAGGGTCGCGTCACTCCGTCCTCCCCGCGCTTCTGGGTGCCAATGTCCCGAATAACGCTGCGAAGTTTCTGGTCCACTTCGGCGAGCAGCCGGGCGCTCACCATGCTGATCTCGTCTATGAACAACCACCTCCACTGCAGAACTCGCTTGGCCGTCTCGTACTGCAGTTTCACATCCTCGCCCTTCTCGTCACCACGCTTCACGGCGGGGATACCGCAGGCGTGGTGGATGGTGTCTCCACCGAGCAGCTGCGCCATGACTGCCTGGAAGGCCGTGATCTGAAAATGAACGCCTATCGTCCATTTCATCAAGCCTTCGAACAGCTCCTTCCGAAGAATACGCAGCACGTGCGACTTCCCGGTGCCGGGCCCTCCGTGCATACACCACCGCAGCGGGTCACCCATGCCCGCGCCCCCTCGTGCCTCCCCGTCCAGCTCTTCCATCACCCTCTCTGCTACCTGCTTCACCATCTCGAACTGTTTCGCGTTGACCACGCGTCGGCCTGTGTCCTTGTCAGTCCGATGCTCAAGTTTTCTGAGCCACTCTGCAATCTCTTGTGATGTCGCCCCTGCCTGAGCCTCCACCTTCCCATACCCTTCCTCCGCAGTCACTCTGTCGGCCATTGACTTCTCCTTGTTTCGCGATGCCCTTGCTGCGGCCTGAACAGCTTCCAGATCACATTCGACGGCTGTGGGCCACGCGTTTCGCACCTCACTCAGCGACTTTTCGTTTGGGCGCCGGCCCCACACCTCCTGGGCTTTGGCCATGCCTGCCTTCGAGTTCTCATAATGTGCACAGCCACTAAGACCACCCTCCACCCCACCAACCTCTTCTTCACAACTGCTGTCACCGTCGCCGTCGTCCCGCTTCCGACCTCCGACGCGTGACTTCAGAGCCTCGTCCAGCTGGTCGAATCCAACCTCCAATTCTTCGTCACTCACGTCCTCGTCACTCCGAGCCTCATCATGCTCCGCATCCCTCGGACGCACGCGATACACGCTCAGGAAGTTCCCAACGTACCGCGCAGCTTCTTCCGATTGAACTCCGCCGTCCAACCACGCAACCATGGCGGCTTCCCACGTTTTCGCGGCCCGTCGCAGTGCGCCTGCGAACACCACGTGATTGTCGGCCTCTGACTGTCGCAACGTCCACGGGTGGAAGTAAGACATTACAATTCGCGCTGACCGCTCAGCTTCTCCATGTCGGCTGCGAGGCACCGGTGCCCCGAAAAAGGTTGGCGCCATAGGCCTCTTGTTCCTGACAAGAACCCACGTGTGTCGCAGGTGCCGGCATCCGTCAGTGTCCGGGTACGCCACCCAATCTTTCCCTGCGTCGCCCTTCACCATGTAATCCACCCCAGGCACTAGCTCTTCCGCCTGCCCCTGACTCCGACTATTTTCCTTTACTTTTTGCTTTCCTGTCGCCGTCAAGAACGCATGGTGCCTGTCCAGATCGGCGTCAGCGTCCCTGAGACTGGTAGGGTATGACACGAGCACGGGCCTCCAATACGTAGCGAACTCGTATGGCGACAAGTGCCACAGGCCGTCCCGATTTGGACGAAGCCCGTACAACATGGCAACGTCCCTGATAGTGACTTTCCGCCGCCTTGGATTTCGCATATCAACCTCCGCGAACTGAGCCTTGCGCCCTCCGGTTGTGCCGTCCGACAACCTCTCAACCGTTTCTACGTACTCGCGTCCGAAGAAACTGGACGTCTCACAAGTCTTGATCGACTCTGCCGACGTCACATCCTTCTCCACGGCATACGCTCGAAGATTCGCACACTCCACTTGGCCGCGAACGATGCCTTTCCCGTAGGCGTCACTCATGATGCGCGTCGTCATCCGCTTACCGACGTAGTTCGCGTTCTCCCCGTGCAACTGCCGACTGAGCTTCTGGATCCCTTTGGAGCACTCGCGGACTTCATGGAAGGCCATAGGCTGGCGCTTCGTGCAGTAGTCGCACGCGTACCCTGCCTGGGCGTCCTGAGCGATCTGGACCACCTTGATGATAGCTGCGTCGTTCTGCTTTTCCGCACATCCCTTCCCGCACGTGCAGCTTTCGCTGGTGATCGGGACTCTGTACGGTAACTGCACGTCAGAATTGAAACGCTGCGCGGCAAGCATGCATGGGTGTGTCCCATTCAGGCTCTCATGGTTCACGGGCCCATGCAAACTCCCGACGCGGTTCCGCCTGCCAGCCTTCGGCATATCCAGCTGCGACGCCAGCCCTGGGCAGATCACAGCCGGACGATCGATGATCTGCGACGTTCGTGGGAAATCGGCCTTACAGAGCTTCGGGTTGTCCTTCCGACGACACGCTGGCAAGGGCACCCTCTCCCCCGTTTCCGGGTTCTCCAGATGCACATGGTTCTGCTTCCGCTCTTGAAGGTACTGCACATCTTGGTCGAGGTACGCTCGCTCCCACACACGCGCCTCCTCCGCCTCTTCCAGCTGCGTCACTCCCTGCCCCGCCCTGCGAGTCTGATACGTCGGACGGCACACCAGCCCAAATTCGGTCTTGTACTCGGGCCACGCGGCCTCCGCTTCTGCCAGATTCTTCTGAAGCTCCTCTGGGGTGATACGCGCCGAGTACTCCTGACGGCAGACCCGTCGCTTGTACTCCAACGACTCCTTCACGAACTCCCGCCCCCATCCATCCGCATTGTTCCGGACGAGCTCGAAGATTTTGTCCAGCGGCGTGTGCTGGTGCAGACACTGTATGAACACCTGACAGTGCGCATGGAGCGCGCCCGTCGACTTCTGCGCTTCGATGGATACATAGCACGCGTCCACCCTGCCGAACACTCCACCTTCCGGCGCGGCGTTGCTGCCGAATAAGTCCTGGCACGGCGACATTTGCTTACTATGGTTGCAGTCCGGACAATTCGGACAGGTGCGCAGTCCGAAAAGATGCCGCATCGTCGCGTCCACAATCACACGGAAACCGTCCACGCTTGCCATCGGATCCCGAGCGAGTATCTTTCTGCGATCCGCCCAGGGAGGCACTCGCGACAGGATCGCCGCCAGCGGGATTGCCGCGCGCACATCATCCGTCTCTGGAGCGACCTGTGGCCACTCCTTACTACCAGCGGCCCGTGACGCAGCCGCGTCGTCGGCGTCGTCCGCCGCATTGTGGACGGGGTCACGGCGCCGCGTGCGCGACAACCGTACCATGATCATATTGTGCCCTTCGTCGGGAGAAAAGGTAACGAAAATGGGGACCCCGTACCGTACGCGGAGCGCGTTCGTTTGGAACCGCATGACCCGTCGTGTCTCTTGCGTCCCTGGTAGCCGCCGGGACGTGTGCTCGATGTTCGCGAGCAACTTGTGGGCAGCTCTACCTAGGCCCGGGACGTGGCGCACTTTCGTCATGTCTCCCATGACTTTCTGCTTCTTACCGTTCACGTCCTGGTATTTCCCCGCCAATGCACGGTAGATCTGCTTCGCCCCTTCGCTGATTTCCTCGGCCGTGATCTGCGCGTCCAGGTCCTTCGGGTTCGCTGACACGTACGTAAACCACGTCCTGCTCAGGTTCACCGCTGAACGAAATACCAAGTTCCACGACACGAACCCGAAATGCCAATCGCGCGCCAACTGGCTCTCTACGCGACGACTCATGATGCGAACCCACAGCGGCAACTCCACACGCGGGGCCTCTTCCGAACGCCGATGCCGCGGACGCTTCAAGAAGGCCGGCATGTCGGGCATGCCTGTACAATACTTGAAAATGAACGCAAAAGCCACGCCGAAATACCACGGTTCGAATTGATCCATCATTGTGTTCCCCGTACATACCCGCAAACGATCCACTCGTTCGTTCCTCTCCAGCGCCTCTGTCAAAAATCTCGCGTCTTCCCTCTCCTTCGCCGGCGCGACGTCGGGCTCCGTTTCTCGCCCGCCTTCGCGCGGGCGCTTCGCTCGGGCACCTTCGTGCTCCGACTCACTCTCGCTATGATCCGTGCGCTCGCTGGTTCCATCGTGTTCGCATTCTGGCGACACCCTCTGTACAAAACTTCGTAAGGCTTCCACGCGCTGGGCATTGATATCCCCGTCATCGAAGCTGCTCTTCTCCAGAACCACGGCGTTGCCTTTCGCCGTTTCCAAGATCTCCGCCGCTTCCTGCAACCCATCCGGGCGCGGAACTGGCGTCGCCGCCTTCTGCATCTGTATCTTGTCCAGCTCGTTGTCCAAAGGCACCAAACGCATGATCTCGGGCGGCACCTCACCATCAGGCAGCTCCGCAGCTTTTTGTCGCACATCTTCCATGCAAACGTGCTGATACGCTCGGTGCCCACGCTTTTTCGCCCCCTCGATCAGCTTTACGACCACATCCCGACGGACTACTGCCTGATGTATGAACTTCGCCATGCTCGCTGCCGTATCGTCGTCTCCCCCGGACTTCAATATCACTGACACTATGTCTGCCAGTTCTTTGCCTGTCCGCGGCACCGACGGCGGCCTTGCCTTCGACGCCCCTTCCTCCAAGGCGGTCAGCTGCGCGAGCATGTCCGTCCACGGCATCGGGAAGGACGTCGCGTTCCCGCGAGCAGCCATACGACGCGTGTTGTTCCCCGCCTCCATGTCAAAAGATCGTTCGTTGCGATACCGCTTCTCCAGGGTGAAACATACCATCGAAGTCACGCACACGGACGCACAAATCATCTCGAGCAGCGCTACGTTTCCTGCGAATAGCTCTTCCGGCGAGTAGAACGTCATCATGTCATTAGCGAGAGCTGCAGGTGGCACGACCGCTTCTCCTCTCGGCCCAATCATACCCGTTCGGCATTCCTCGCAAAGGGGCGCCTCGCAACGATCGCATACCTCGTTCCCTTCGTGCCACGATTCCGTGCTGCAGCGCAGATCTTCGGGGCAACACAACACCTTCACGGGTCCATCGCCCGACGCGATCGTTGCTTGCCACTCTTCAAACTCCTCCGCGTGATCCCGCAGATGCACGTCGCTTCCGACCTGACCGTATCGATCCACATAACTGTCTACGGACAAGTGCTTTCTGACGAACGAGCCAGGCAGTCCGAAGATGCCATCCGAATTCGGGGACACCTTCTGCCGCGTAATTGGATTCCCAGGGCGCCCATCCACGTGAGGGAATTTCCGCGCGCACACCATACACACCAAAGAACACACTCCCTCCTCCCCCAACCCTTCTGCATATGCACGGAGACATCGTCGGTCAATGGCAAGTGCGGCGAGAGGAGCTCCTTGACGTACCTTCCATGCCAAGACCTCGTTGTACGCAGACAGGTAGCGCAACTCCTCGCTCTTCTCGCCTTCGGCAGAAACGCAATCCAGCGAGGTTGCGATGTCCTCGAGCTGCTCACGATGCTCCTGCAGCAGGTGAGCGCATAGGTCTGCGTCCGAAGCTCCATGCCAGAGGCAAGGCGTCCAGTCGCCCTCCCAACAACGTTTGAAGGCGCAGTGTTTCCTCGGCAATTCTACTGCTCCTACCGATGTCGGGACGCCGCCACATAAGGCAGCCCCATTCGCCGAGACAGCGGGCAACGTGGGTGCGTCCTTCACGTGCTCTGTCGCCACTCTCTCCAAATCCTTCTCCCTTTTCCGTCGCGGGTCGTCCGACACTTTTGCAGCGCGGACCCGATACACGTATCCTGGCGCGTCTGCATGGCCCTCGCCGTCACCCGCTAGGGTAGCGCCGGTGCTCGACGTGGTGTGCGTTGGCACCGCTGTACCGCCTGTGTCGGTTGGGCCGCCGACCCCTGGCCCTGCGGCGTCACCGGGCTTCGTCTTCCCTGTGATTCGCGGTCGCTTGGCCTTCGTGTCGGCTTCGGTGACCTCCGTCTGCTTTACATTGTCCCCGCTTCCGTTTCCGGCTTTGGCACTCGTCTTGTTAGGCGCGGCCACCGGCGAGTCCTGCCCCGCGCTCTGCCATACAGGTTTGTACGTCGTGTTCGCAATGTCCGCCCCGGTGACATTGTATACCTCGAGAACGGCAACCTCGCCCTCAGGCCGCACCTCCTCCTCGCACGGCCATGCACCGAGCGCGGGCCCTTCCCCCTCGAGTTCTGCTCGGGTGAACGACATTGAGACTCCCACTCCGTTCGCCCCCAGGAGCCCGTCAAAACGGGAGTACGTGCGCAGGATGATCTGGCAGGGCAGCGCTACTCCGGCCGTGCCGTACCGGGCCAACGCGAATCTCATGATCTCACCAGCATGGACGCCGTGTCGGAGCTCACCGTCATGCGACCCCAACGCCAACCATGTATCTCCGACGGTCCGCAGATGATCCATACACGCCTCGCAAGCGACACGGCGCCCCTCGTCTGACGCCAACGTCTGATCACACCATCCCAAACGGGCCAAAAGCTGGAAGATACTGTCCGCAAGGGAAGCGCCAATGCCGTGTCCAAGACCGGAACCCACGCGGCGGCCTGATACTGCCATGTCCTCAGCTCGCTCATCGTCGGTCTTTGCTACGAATACCAATGCCCCCATAAAAAATTCCATGAATTTAACCGTGCGGTCTTCCACCACGCGGCACCGATCCTCCACGTCGCGCGCGCCCAGCAGCTCGTCCCGCGCGACTTTCCACCCCCGCCACTCACGAACCTATTCCTCTCTCATGACACGCAGCAGTGGCGCCGTTTCACCCCAAACTCTCCACAGGTGCGCGTGCAGCTCTGCAGGCACAAAGTCCAGGCCCGGAATCTCCCGCACTTCGGGCTCTACACGCGCATTCCGCAGAAGACGCAATGCGCGCCCATCGGCTTCTCGGATGACGCGCACCGGTGCCAGGAGATCATCAGGGAGGACATGCACTGCCCGCTCACGTCCTGGCCTGGCGGCCACGCCCTCCATGATGGGCCTTCGGGCGCTCCCTTTCGCGGTAGTCGCCGTGCACCAGGTCGCCGTCGCGCTGCCACCGCCTTCCCTGCCCATTCTCCTACCGCCGCCAGCCTGGCCCAAATCCGTTCGGTGCCCATCCCTGCGTCCTCCTCGAACACCGCCACCCACCGTCGCAGCCGGGCCGGTCCCACGAGCAAGCCCCGCCGCCTTCTCTTCTTCCGCGCCCATTCCTCCGTCGCCCACATCAGCAGCTGCGACGTTGACACCGTCTCCTGCGCACCGACCGCCGCACTCTGCCCCATCGCTGCATTCTCCCGTCTTCCAAGCAGCCACTAGCACCTTCTTCCCCGTCCGACGTATATTCCCGGCACGAACGTCCGATGCATCCAGGAGTCCTCTCTTGGTTTTCGAGGCCTCCGAATGTATACGCAGAGTCGACGGAACCGGCGGCGGCGGCACAGCTCTCGACACGCATTCCAAACGCTCGTAATGTCCGCGCACAGCGCTTCTCCCAATACCAGCGTTTATACCAATAAGAGTGATGTTCGCCGAGTCGCCGGCAGGCAAGACATACTTGTGCAGCTGAAAGGCTGCGCGACGAAGCCCACGCTCCTCCCGAACCTCCCGCACTATTACCGCGTTCAAACCTGCGCACTCGCACAATAACATCAGCTCTACATCACTCAAATAGTACCCATCTGAGCATAAGGCCTCCAAATAACAGGGGTGCACAAGAGTGAAGAAGTCCTCGAATGGTTCTCGCACCATAACAGACTCCCCGGCGTCAACTCGGCGTGGAAGCATGTGATCAAACCGCAGGCGGAACAGCATGCCGGTCTGAACGAGCGGAATCTGGGCATGCTGGCGGAAGAAAAAAGAGTGTGGGAGAAGATAAAGGGGAAGCACCATGTCCTCAAAGCCTGCGTGCGCGCCGTGAAGCAAGAGAGTGAAACGTTGTCTGTCTTCGCGCAGAAACGCAACGAAGTTGCAAGTGCGATGAGAACATTATGCGAGAATGATATGAGAGACGTGTTTCTGCGTCCATTGCTGACTCACATGGGCATTCTTGACGACTACGAATGCATAGGCAATGACGGGCAGTGGAAGATCGACGTCGTTGGCACAGACACAGAGCTTGGGCAACATTACCGCCGCGGCATCGTGGAGTACTGCGGCATGAACAACATGGACTTTTTCCTGGAGCACGTGAATAACACGGTGGCTCATCTGCACGACGCGAACGTAGACAGAGCATTTGGCGCTGGAGTAGGTGACTTTGTAGAGATAGTTGCGAGGACGTTTCAGGCTCAGGCCAGACTGGCTGGACCACCTCAGCCCACGGCAGATCTGAGCCCAGTATTCCGAGGATGTCTCAGGCGTCGTCGTCGTCGACGCCATCATCGTCGTCATCGTCGTCGTCGTCGTCGTCATCGTCGTCCGTCTCCTCCTGCCATAGCAGGCCAAGAATGCTACGTAGATACAATCATGCGATACATATCACACGGAACGTGCCCCGGGGCCAGAAAACGGCCCCGGGGCCAGAAAACGGCCCCGAAGAATACAATCCGAGGCCGAGTGTCAACCAAAACAGGCGAGACCATTTTTTGATGAGAAATTGCTGCTCAAGGGAGAGAGAGAGAGAGAGAGAGAGAGGCGGAATCTAACACACGCACACACAACACGCACACACACACACAAGCGCAGTCAACCCAAGCTCCCGTTCGTCCCGTGTCGCGTTCACGCTGCAGTGCTGCCCGCATCGTCATCTACTCAAACTGAATACCACCCTCCTCTCTCCCCCGCAGTTGCGGGAACCGCTCGCAACGACCCGGACAACAAAGAAAACACAAGACCCCATTTGGGGTCGGCGGCAGAGGCGGCAGCCTTTAAATATGAGGAGGAGTAGGAGGAGAAGGAGGAGCAGGAAGAGAAGGTAGAGCGTGGCCCGAGCAGCAGGAGGAGGAAAAACACAACAAGGCAACGTCTGGCGGTGACGTCCGCCGTGACGACGCGGGGCCGCTCCTCGCGAGGTGCGCCGCTCCTGGCCTCTCGCAGGGGCGGCCCAGGCTGGAGGAGGCGGGAGGGAGGGAGGGCAGGGAGGGAGGAGCAGAGGACGGGAGGAGGAGAGGGGGGGAGAAGAAGGCGCGCAGCTCGGGGGAGGATAGGGAGGTCTGCCTGGCAGCGGGCAGCGGTCCTGGCCTTGCTCGGCGGATTGAGGAGCAGAGGACGGGAGGAGGAGCAGAGGGGGGGAGGAGGAGGGGCGGAAGGAGGGGAGGAGGAAACGGGGCAAGAGGATCAAGAGGAGGAGAGGATGAGGGTAAGGAAGACGAGGGGAGAGAAGAAGGAGGGGGGACGGGAGGAGGTGAGAGGATGCAGTAGGAGCAGGCGCCCGATGGCAGCTAGGAGGGGATCGACGGGCAGCAGCTCTGTCCCTCCCTCCATCCCTCTCCCTCCACCTCCCCCTCCCCCTCCCCCCCCTCCCCCTTCCCCTCCCCCTCCCTTCCTCCCTCCTTCCGTCCATCCCTCATTCCCTCCCTCCCCTCCTCCCTCCCTGTCGTCCTCCTCCATCCCTTTTCCTTATATAAAGCACACACACACAAAAACATCTCCCTCTCGCACCCCGGTGCCAACTTTTAGGGCGGGCCGGGGGGCCGCCTGAGACTTCCTCACCATGTATGACCCTACTTCACAGATGGAGGGCGGGTCGTCTTCAAAATGTGGCTCTCGCCTTGGCGCCGCGCCCATTCGTTTTCAAGAATTGCAAGCGCTTCACGGATTTAGGGCGGGTCGCTTTCAAAATGTGGCTCCGCGTGCATTCGTTTTCAAAATGTGCAAGAGCTTCACGGATTGAGGGCGGCTCCCTTTCAAAACGTGGGTGGCTCTCGCCTTAGCGCTGCGCACATTCGTGTACAATGTGTGCAAACTTTTCACAGTTTCCCATGAGCAGCGTACCAGAAATTGCGTTTTGGAAGGATTCAGGATTATGAAGGTGCAAGAATTACATTGGTTCGCAGCGTTGATGTCCCAGGAATGGCGTTCTGGCATGATTCCGGATCGTTAAGACGCAGCAGTCAAGTTGATCCGCGGCGTTGGAATTCTGAGAACGGTGTTTGGGCATGCTTCAGGGTCTTCAAACGGATGTCGTCCAAAGAGGCAATTCCCTCAGTGGAAATGAACCATTGTAGGAGCCTATGAAGAGGGAGCTTGGAGGGAGGGTATATTCCAACATCGTTGATGAGTCTCTGGCTTACAGTGGTCCTCCTCCTCCTCGGACGTACCTGGGGGATGACTGGGTCAGCTCCATCACACTTGCGGGGCGCCTACCGCCACAGCTGGTACCTCACAGAGGAGGCAAGAGCGCGGGCACGGCATTCAGGAAGATGGTCAATTTCGGCCCTGTGAGCGTTGATGGTGTTGAAGAGGAGGGTAGCAGCGGCAGGCAGCAGGAGGCTCTCGGCCGAGGGGGAGGAGAGACCAAGTCGCTCGATGGGACATCCTGGGAGCACTCTCTTCTGGAGGACCAGCGCTAAAATGGCCAGGAACCGAGGGCAAGACCAATAGTGTGGCAAACTGTCAGAGCTGGATGATATTCCACATGGCACACAGCCTAGAACACAGAGGGCAGGCTTCTGAAAGCGAGCCTCCGTCGTCCATCCGTTGACGAGGAGTTTCAAAATCGCATTCGACTGAACTGGTGGAAGCTTCAAGAGACAGTGTTGGGTTTCGGACCAGGGCCAACCGGCGAGGGTCTCCAGGGATATCGGGAGCCAGGCATTTAATCGCTTGCAGAAAATACCGACCAATGGGTCGGGAAACCGAACTTCTAGGAGTGTCAGGGCGAGCTTTCCCTGGATCTTCGCACGGCGATTCGGGGGAGGAGGAGGGAGCGAGGTGACGGCAGAGGTGGCAGCAGCAGCGAGGAGCTCACGAGCGGGGTGGGAGGAGGTGACTAGATCTTGCCCAATGTTGGCAGGAAAGCAAGCTGAGGCGGAAGACAGGAATTCCGCGAATGATGGCTGGCACCAGAACGAGGGAGACAGAGAGCCAGCAGCACGGGTGGGGAGAGGCAGACATCGGTCCGCGGTTTCACGGAGAGAGGCAAGGACGGTTGGCCAGCTCTGGAGTGTGGTGGCGCTGGATCTCAGGAGAGTGGCCGAAGACAGTATGAGAGCGCTTGGGAACTTCGGCCCTCCCCACCTCCAGAGGTTGAAAAAACCAGCGCGAGAGATCACACAGTGTGGCGAGCGCCACAGGCGGGCAAGAAGCGCGGCCTCACCTGAGAGAATCTCCGCTGGGAGCGGCATGAACTGGGCGACGTACGTCAGGACACTGGTGACCCTTGTCGAGTAGAGCTGAGCCGTCACACGATGTGGCCCTTGTTGTTGTGCCAGGATCAAGCCACGGTCTCTCCATTTCTGGATTGGTGCGCGCCAACTATGAAGATGCACTGCGGGTCCGAGATAAAGACCAAGATATAGAAGTTCTGGAACAATCTTGAAAGAGGACCATGTCGGGATATGGTCGGCGATCCATTGTGCGTATCGGTCGTGAGTCACATCTGAGAATGAGCCGCATAACGGAACAATCTTGCACTTTGTCGGCTTGAGCACAAGGGCAGCCACACGAGCGGCAACCCGAAAGATACGGAAAAAGATCTTGAGCACCCTGATGGTCCTGATGGCAGCACCGACGTCGTCGGCGCAAGCACGAACCAGCCCGAGGGCACGACGATTGATACTCCAGTCGAAATCAAGCATGAACGGGTCCGCGGCCACTGCGAACAAGAAGCCCGAGCCAGGGCAACCTTGCACTATGCCGCTCTGGATGTAGTAGAGCAGCGCAGCGTTTCCATAGACAGAGTTGTTGATAGACGAGGAACACGCATTGGCCGACCAGCATTGGACGCAGCGGTACAGCTCGGCGAAGAACCAACATAGCGCCTCGGGCAAGCCCGCGCGACGGAGAACCAAGAAGAGCCATTGATGGGCCACACTTGGGAAGGCCTGCTGAAAATCGAAACTGACGAGCAGAGGCATGGCTACGGAGACGTCGTCCTGCTGGGAGTATTCCCTCGAGGCCCCATCGAGCTCCACAGTGTTGTTCCCAAAGTTCCTGGACGGCACGAACCCCCTCTGAATTTTGCACACCACCTCTGGGAGAGCACGAGATAGCCGGCGTACGATCGTCCCCGTGATGATTTTGACGTCCGTGTTTTCGAGGCCAAGGGGGCGCAAGTTGCTGGGGGCCCGCACACAGCCTCTGAGAGTGTCCTCGGTCTCGGAGCCTTTGGGGATGAAGACGCCTATCATGTCGTTGAAACCTACCATCATAGCATTTCCACCCAGAATCCACCACATGACCGACAGTAGGACCGATGAGGAGAAAGAGGATCGTTGATACGCGGCGCATGGGAGACCGTCGGGGCCAGGGGCTGAGTGAGACAGCCTCTGTATGTAAGACTCCATCTGGGGCTTCGTGGGCGGGGCGATGTTAGCGAAATCGATCTTGGGGCAGAATCTATTCAAATACATGTTGGCGGCAGCCTCGTCGATATTTTTGCGTTGGAAGACGGGACCCCAGTGCGTGGCAATCTCGTGGTGCATTTCCTCGGATGACGAGACAATCGGGCCATTTTGAGATCGAATTCCAGTAAGCTCCGTGCGCCGTCCGAATGGCGCCCATATCTTGGCTCGCTGTATGAGCCTCCGAAGCCGCTTCCTGAGCTTCGCACGGGCGTGAGCGGGAGCCTGCTGGGCGTCTGCAGCAGCAAGCTCGCGACGGAGAGAGGACCGGGCGGACTCGGCTTCTGCAAACTGGAGCTCGTCCAGCAGAGTAGAAAAGCGTGCAGGGTCCACGAAACGCACACGTCCCTCCTCAGAGACCTCCAGGATTTCTCGAGCAAATGGATAGCGAAGGAGACGTTCAGCTAACCAACGATCTTGGCGCCATACAGCTCTGGATGAGGAGCGCATAACCAACAACTTCGAAGTGGGGTTCGAGGGTTCGTCCTGGAAGAGCGCGTCCCTGGCGTACCTGGCCCCCTCCTTCAGGACGGTTTTGTACATTTCCAGGGCCAGTGGGGGTGAGAGCTCCGAGATATCAATAGCGGGCCAGGTGGCATCCACATACTTCTGGAACTGCGGGTGTTCAAACAGGTATCTGGGAATCGGCCTGTCGTCCAGGGAAGGGGGAGGTCGAGCACGCAGCGAGGCCAGGATGGGAGCGTGATCTGAGAGGCCCCGTTGTTCTAGTGATTCAGGGAGGTCCCGAACGTCCGAGGTCAGATGTAGCAGAGTAAGGATCCAGCCAGGCCAGGATATGAAGATGCGGTCGATGGCGGATGTGTGTTGGCGAGAGCCATTGTAGTGCGCATTGTCTTGCGGGTCGAGCTCGACCGTCGCATTGAAAATCTGCTGCCAAGGTGAGCGGAGCAGCCGGCGGAACTCGGGCGCGGCAGGGTCTTCAGCCAGCCCACCAGGAAGGGGGTGCGCAGGCAGCGGGGCGTCACGCGGAATGTTGAAGTCGCCCGTGACCACGACCAGGTAGCGTTCCGTGTCGCGGCTCGCGATCTCGAGCTCGTGGCGGATGACGCTCAGGATGCGGCTGGTCTGGGCGGGGGTAAGCCCGAAATTGTGGATGTTGAAGTGCGAGATGAAGTGGAGGGAGCCGTTGACGGAGCCGTTGACCGAGCCGAGGCAAATCTTCGTGTGCAGGGCACGCCCCTGCACAAGCACGGTGGAATCGACGTACTTACCATCCCCAGGGAGAGAAGAGATCCTAGGCAGCAGGGTGACCACGCCGCCTTTGTTCAGCTCGGAGAAGAAAGAGTGGTGTGCCTCATACCCCGAGGCTGAGAAGTGTAAGAAGTCGGCTACGTCGAACTCACTGCCATGCGTCTCCTGGAGCGCAATCACTCGAAAGCCCTTGAGCATTGCGCCGAGGTAGGTGGTCTTCAGCGACCGCAATCTCTGATCATGATGAAAGAGAGCTCTCCCATTCCAGGTCCCGAATCCGAGCTCAGAAACAGACGCGCGACTAGTAAGTCGGAACCAGTCGTTAAAGGCACCACTGTGCCCCAGAAGAGGAGGAGGCAGCGCCAGAGGAGGGAGAGGCCAGGGCGGCGGTGATGCGGGCCTCCAAGTTCTCGCGGGACATGTTCGCTGCGGTGAGGTTGGTCGTCTCCCACTCGACCAATGTCGGTTCAGAAAGCCTGGGCGTGACCCTGATGAGCGGCTTCCAGTTGGAGCTGATGATGCCCGTCGACTTGTCGGCGTGCAGCTGAACATTCGGGTAGGTCTCGGACATCGCGCGTCTGGCAAGTTTGGTGGCCAGCTCACGCCGCACCTGGCACAAGTTCTTGTCCGCCGAGACGTAGAGGGGGCTCGACTCCCCCGTGGTAGTTTGTGCCTGAAGGCGACGGAATTCGCCATCTCCCACCCGCATAGCTGATAGGGCTTGTGAAACCATCCTGGAAGACCAACCAGGGGCACCACGAACACGTACGATAAATCTCTTGCCAGCGGGCTGCCCCTCCAGGCGCCAGAACGAATCTTCAAAATTGGCGTCCGCCAGCCAGGGGGTGATGGCGGTGCGGACCGAGGCCATAGTGACGAAGGAGTTGGAGCGGAGGACGAGGACGGAGGGGTCGGTTTTCCGCTCGAAGTTGCTGGAGGCTGCCTCAGGGGAAGGGACGGGGTCGGAGCTTTGGACGAGGAGCAGGGCCTTCTTGAGCTCGGAGATCTCGCCCGCCATGATGTCCATGCGGGTCTGGAGCGTCTTGGTGGTGGCCTCCTGCTTGGCGAGCCGCTGCTCGACCTGGCAGCTGAGTCCCTGCACGTGGACGGTGATAGACTTCTCAAGCGCGGCCATGGTTTGACGCATAGCAGACATGCCTGAGAGGACGCTGGTCTTGGTGCTCTCGACGTAGGCCCGAAGTTCGTCGATGCTCCCAGGAGGAGCGGCAGGAGGAGAGCGGTCATCAGAATCACCCATAGCACCAGCCGGCGGGGTGGCTGAGACGAGCTGGCTCTCGGTGAAGTAGCCGTCGTCGCTGGAAAGCCATGCGGTCTGCGTGGAAGAGAGCTCTGCGGCGGCGGCGGCCGCGGCAGCGACGGAGGAGGCCTGCGCGCGGGCAGAGGCGCCCCCGCCTTTGCCGCGGCCTGCACCAGTGGGGTATGGGTCGGCGGAGCCCTTGCTGTCGGCCTTGCCTTTGGTCTCCACGAGAGTGAATCCCTCCGAAGCAGATGCATGGGCCATGTGAGAAGAGAGACGTGCAAAGAAAGGTGTCCGCCAGCCTCTGACAGCTGGAATGCTCTGAAAGGAGAGCTGCCTCACTCAACCTCGGGCCTGTCCCGAACCTTGAGCCAAAATGGCTTGAGCCAAAATGGCTACGGAGTGGTCCTCCTCCTCCTCCTCCTCCTCCTCCTCCTCCTCCTCCTCTTCTCACCTCCTTCTTTTGCGGAGATCCCGCCCCCCCAAGGCAGACGCGCCGCGCGCGCGGCGCCGCTCGTTCTCGGCCGGGTTCTTGATCACGACCTCGGGGGGGGAGACAACGGGCGTGTGCCCGCCGCCGGGGTTTTGCCCTCGGCCCTCGAGCACAGGGCGAGGGCAAGGCGGGGGCACATCCAAGGGAACGCCGACAAGAAACGGGTCTTACGCGAGATGTAGCGACCTTACGCCGCGGCTTTTGCGCGCCGCTGGCGCGGCACGTCACACTGGAAGCGAGGGCGCTTACGCACGACCTTACGCGGGCAGCTTACGCGCTTATGTCGGCGCAGTCGACCCCACTTTCGTCGCGCAAATGATGACATGAAGACAGTTCGAGACCCTCTGAGAGCGGGGCAGGCCTGAAGAATGTGTCAAATGCCGCGGCCGTTTCAGAAAGTGACCTGCGGGCGTTCCAGAGCGCTCTGGTTGGGGGTCGAGGGGGGAGGTTATCACGTAGCCTCGTCTCTACCAGTGAAGTGCAGTGACCGAAACTGTGCCCGAAAATCTGCCCGACTGTGACCAGAACTGGCGCCCGGAATTGTCTGGACGCGCCCGAGTGTGATCCAAAAAGTATGGTCCTAAGCCAACACGACTTCCAATATCAGTCACAAGTTCGGTCACAAGTTGGTTACGGTTACAAATTCGGGCACGTTTTCGGTCACCTAGTTTGCTCGGTCACGCGCGCGTTTGGCTCATGGGGGCTGGGCGCCATGAAGTTTTCGGACGCCTCTGGCCCTCGTCTGCCTCCAGCGGCCTCCAGACTCGGCGACTCAGAAGGGTGTGGTTTGCGAAGGGTGGTTTAAAGTGTAGGGTTTAGGGTCCACTAGCTCAACTCGAAGCCTTCTGGATGTATCCTACCCACCCATGACCCTACAAATACCGAACTCAATTCATTGAGGGGTCGATGCTCAATCACACGACGAGGATGATGACGGCGAAGCGCGCCACCCCACGCCAAGGCGCGCACGTGCCAACGCGGGCGGAATGGATCCGAACGGGAAACACGCGTGCGAAGCTTTTATGACTCTTCTGAATCTTATGCGTCCTTTGAATCGCGCGCGCGATGGGAGTTTAGGAATCAGCCGCCAGGCGGAAGGGGCACGATCCGTGCGCGGGCGCCCATGGAAGGGGGTGGGGGTCGGAATTCGCTGCCATGCGGGAGGAGACACGATCCGTGTGCGGGCACGCATGGAATGAGGGTTTAGGAATTAGCCGACATGCGGGAAGGGCACGATCCGTGTGCGGGCACGCGTGGACCGAGGGTTTGAAAACTAGCCGCTATGCGGGAAAGGCACGATCCGTGTGCGGGCATGCATGGAATGAAAATTGAAGACTTGGCCGCCAGGCGGGAGGGGACACGCTCCGTGTGCGGGCACGCATGGAATGAGGGTGTAGGAATTGCGGGCACGCATGGAATGAAGGTTTAGGCATTTGCCGCCAGGTGGGAACGGCACGGTCCGTGTGCGGGCACGCATGAGATGAGGGTTTAAGAATTAGCCGCCATGCGGCAAGGGCACGGTCAGTGTGCGGGCACGCATGAAATGAGGGGTTAGGAATTCGCCGCCATGCGGGAGGGACACCATCCGTGTGCGGGCACGCATGGAATGAGAGTTTACGAATGAGCCGCCATGCGGGAAGGAAACGATGCGCGTGCGGGCACGCATGGAATGAGGGTTTAGGAATTAGCCGCGCATAAGGGGCGCTTCAAGGGCCTTTAGGATGTAACTATTTATAGGTTATTAGCTCTTCGGGGTTTCGGGTCCACTAGCTCAACTCGAAGCCTTCTGGACGTATCCTACCCACCCATGACCCTACAAATACCGAACTCAATTCATTGAGGGGTCGATGCTCAATCACACGACGAGGATGATGACGGCAAAGTGCGCCACCCCACGCCAAGGCGCGCACGTGCCAACGCGGGCGGAATGGATCCGAACGGGAAACGCGCGCGCGAAGCTTTTATGACCCTTCTGAATCTCATGCGTTCTTTGAGTCGCGCGTGCGATGGGAGTCTAAGAATTAGCAACCATGCGGGAGGGGCACGATACGTGCGCGGGCGCGCATGAAGGGGGGGGGTATGAATTAGCAACCATGCGGGAGGAGACACGATCCGCGTGCCTGCTCGCATGGGATGGGGGGTCAGGAATTAGCCGCCACGCGGGAGGGGCAGAATCCGCGTGCCTGCACGCATGCGATGGGGGAATGGGAATTAGCAGCCATGCGGGAGGGGGCAAAACCCGCGTGCCTGCACGCATGGGGTGGGGGTTTAGGAATTAGCCGCCATGCGGGAGGGGCACGAACCGTGCGCGGGCGCGCATGGAAGGTGGGGTGGGGTGGGGTGGGGGGTAAAAGCCGCCTTGCGGGAGGGGACACGCTCCGTGTGCGGGCACGCATGGAATGAGGGATTGATAATTCGCCACCGTGCGGGAAGGGCACGATCCGTGTGCGGGCACGCATGGAATGAAGGTTTAGGAATTAGCCGCCAGGCGGGAGGGGCACGATCGATGCGTGCGCGGACGCGCGGGGGTAGAAGCCGCCATGCGAGGTTGCAACCGGCACCCTGGAGAACACCCTGGGGGAGGGGCGCGGACCTCCATGGGGGCCTCTGCCGCGTCCCCCAGGCCCCACTGGCGCCGATCGCAAACCCTCCTCTTCTCTTCCTCCTCCTCCTCCTCCTCCTCCTCCTCCTCCTCCTCCTCCTCCTCCTCCTCCTCCTCCTCCTCCCCACACCGTGGCGTAACCACACCCTTTGAAGTCGCCGATCTGGGGACCTCTGGGTGACAGGACCCTGGGCGGCAGCAAAGCTTGCAATCCTGACCGAGCTGGCGGCGAGGCGGCCTCCTGAGAAGGCAGGGGGCTTCTCGCAAGGGACCGGATGCTCCCTAGAAGGCATCCCCTGTCACAGGGCGGGGAGGACCCAGAATCCCGCCCTCAATGATTCTTGGAATCGGCGGCAAGGCCGTTGTTTTTGCTTTCCGCGTTCGTGTTGCAACTTTCTGTTACCCGCTTCTGGCGCCGTTTTATTTCTGGTTCCGTCGCCGTTCTTGGTTCCGGTTCCGACCCCGGCTTCAATCATGGAGCCGTTTTTTTGTCCAAAGCAATGCTTGCACTTAGCCGTTCTCGCTCCTGGTCTAAGGAAACGGGCCCGTCTGTCGGTCTGAACGGCTGTATTGTCGCCGTCGCCGCCCCATCGCCGCCTCGTCGCCGCCCGTCTGGGCCTGCCTGTCGGTCTGGCGGCTATGTTGTCACCGTCGCCGCCCCGTCGCCGCCCTGGGTTGCACAACGCAGAGTGTACCGCATAGGTTGTACCGCTGAGACTGCACCTCATAGCTTGCACAACCAATCTTGAACCACACCAATTGCACCACATGGAATGAACAACGTAGATCCGGCCACAGAACGTGCACAAAACGTCTTGCACCACACAGGTTGCACCACATCCATTACACTACATAGAGTGCACAAGATAGAATCTCCATTCTAAGCAAAGAATAAACTCTTCCCCCCCGGAGGTAACGATCCCCCATGGGGTATTGTGATTGCATCTGTATTCTACACACATGTCCATCCTAAATATGAACTCATCCTATCCCAGCCAAGCCGGTATCACTCCCCCCCGCTAAGCGCGCACTCCCGTTTATCAAAAATCCTAAGTTTCCAAGAATCCCTTTGCAAAAAAAGGGACGAAGTTCACGCGCGCGTCGCGCGCGCGCATGCTGGAACCCTCCAACAATACTCGGTTTCGGAAGGATTTCAAAATCGCGTTCCCCGAAAACATACAAACACACATGGTTTCGCAACACTGATGTTCTAAAACAGCTTACGCGCGCTCTCTTGCGAAATCTTAAGAAAACCATCGGTTTTTTCAACACTTCCACAAAATACTACCGAACGGGCTTCGCGCGCGGGCATGTCGAAATCTTTCGGACGCCCTTGCGCGCGTGCCGTCGCGAGAATCGTTTGCAAAAAAAGGGACGAAGTGCAGACGCGCGCGTCGTCTCGCACGCATGCCGGTTTCGAAGGATGTCAAGATAGTGTCCAAAAAACATGCAAATCAAAAGGTTTCGCAACACGGATTTTGAACAAAAGCGTGCGCGCGCTCTCTTGCGTCGTTGTCGTCGTCGTCGCCGTCCTCCCTGCTCCCTCGTCGTCGTCTTCGTCGCCGTCGTCGTCCTGTCTTTCCTCGTCGTCGTCGTCTTGGCGTCGTCGTCGTTTCCGTCGTCGTTGTCGCCGTGGTTGTTCTTTTTCCCTCGTCGTTGTCGTCGGCGCTTCGTCGTTGTCCCTCCTATTTCGTCGCCGTCGTCGTCGTTGTCGTCGTCGTATTCCCTCCTCCCTCGTCGTTGTCGTCGTCGCGGTCGTCGTCCTCCCTCCTCCCTCGTCGTCGTCGTCTTCGTTGGCGACGTCGTCGTCGTCTTCGTCGTCGCCGTCGTCGTCGTCGTCGGCGTCGTCGTCTTCGTCGTCGTCGGCGGCGTTGTCGTCGTCGTCGGCGTTGCCATCGTCGTCGTCGTCGTCAGCGTCGGCGTCGTCGTCGTCGGTGTTGTCGTCGTCGTCGTTGCCGTCGTCGTCGAAGTCGTTGGAGACGTCGGCGGCGTCGTCGTCGTTGTCGCTGTCACTGTCGTCGTCGGCGTCGGTGCCGGTGCCAAGTGCCATTTGGTACCCACCGTCACGGTCTTAAGAAGTCTTGCGACCACGTTGCGGGTGGGAGGGTGGGATGTTTGCACGGGCAGTGGAGAGGGCAGCTTCAAGTTGAGCCAGTGAATTGCACCACTTAGACTGCAATGCATAGATCGTATAACACACATTGAACCGCATAGAGTGCACCACATGGATTGCACAGCATCTATTGCACCAAATACGAGTGCACACCTTAGATTGCGCCACATGCGTTGCACCACATAGATTGCACAACGCTGAGACTGCATCACGTAGCTTTCACAACATAGATGGGACCGAATATGATTCGCGCCACATCGACTGCACAACCTAGATTTCACCGCATAAGGGCACATCATGGCTTGCATCGCATAGGGTGTATAACATAGTTTGCG